GCCGCGTCGCTTCTCCCAACTTCCAATAATACCACACACACAAGAAGTTTCTTGGTCTTTCCTTTTTTCAAACCCCCCCCCCCCTCAACACACACACACACACACACACACAAACACACTGACAAATTCCACAAACACACAGTGAACACGGAGCACCACAGGTTGTTGGGAGAAGCGACGCGGCGAAGATGAGGATGAGGATGCAAGTGAAATGCCCTCTCTAGTCTTTTTTTCCCCAACTTTTTTTTGGGGGGCCGGTTTCACGCTAAAGAATTCCTCTGTCCCTTCTCCTCTCAAGTTACGCGACCCTCTGTTTACACGCCCCTCTTTTTTCCCCTTAATTTCAATTGCACACAAGTGCCATGAATATGATAATAGTGGACAAGGGGAGGGATGAAACACACTCCTGTTAAAAGAACTACACAAGACAGATACTGCACGTGAAGGGAGATAAAATAAAAATCTCCTACAGTCAAAGAGAAAGAGAAAAAAAAATACATATTCAGAGACGTTCCACCAGAGGAGAAAGGAGTGGACAAAGAGAAATAAAGGGAGGAAACAAGTCCAGTCTGTGTGCCATGGTGGCCCTCTTACCCTCTTTTCTTCTTCTCTCCTCTGCTCTCCTGTAACCCAGGGTGTTGCCTCTCCTCTGCTCTCCCGACAGCCTCTTCTAAAAAAAAATTCCCTCCCCTTTCCCTCCCGACGCCTTTGCCGAGGGTCCGCGGCAAGCTGGGAGGTGGTGATCTCCCTCCCCCTTGCAGTTCCAGGAAGAGCTCCCCGAGGAGAAGGAGGAGGCAGATCCCGGCAGGAGACGGGGGAGCCAGCGGCGACACCGGCGGTGATGGAGGAGGTTAGTGGTGCTGATGCTGCCAGAAGAGAGGGGATGAGGGGAGGAATGGATGCTTAACAAAAGATCCCCACCTCCTCTTCCTTTTCTTCTCTTCCTCTCCTACCCCGGCCCTCCACCACTTTCTTTTCTCCCACTCTTCCCCGCTCTCGCCTTCGCCCCTTCTCTCCGCTCCGAGCGCTGAGAGAAGCCAGTTGTTGCTCCGCCGCGGAAAAACCAACTGACGATATAGAGAGCAGAGAGCAGACGGAGGGGAGAGAGAGAGAGAGAAGAAGAACAGAGAGAGAGAAAGGGAGAGCGTGCGGTGTGATGTGGCATCTGCAAAAGAGTGATAGAGAGGAGAGAGAGGGATACGGAGGTAGAGGTGGACGGGTGGAGGGGGGAGGAGGGAGGAGGAGGATGGACGAAGGAGGAGGAGAGAGATGGAGAGAGAGAGAGGTGGGGTGAGGCAGAATGCGGGGAAGGATGAGAGAGAGAGAGCAGACGGGAGGAAATAAAGAGAGAGAGATGTAAAGAAACAGAGAGAGGTATTGCAGCAATGAAAACCACCAGCAGTCCGTCTAACGGACTCTGTCCCTGCTATGAGGACAGCCAGAGAATAATTAGATTTGAGCTTCTCACACACACACACACTTCTTTCTCTGCCCCTCTGTCACACACACACCAACACACACACACACACACACACACACACACCCTGGCACCTAGTAATGGTGCATTAATTGATGTGCTGTGCGCTCTGCGGCCCTCGGCCAACACCTCCACCACCAGCACCCACTACCATTCTGGAGAAGTAAAAGAAAATCATCAGAAATAAAGCGAAGGATGACGATGATGATGATGATGTTGTTGATGATGGGAAGGTTAGGAGGAGTAGGAAGAGAGGGAAATGAGTCGGCCCCTTGGGACTGATGAAAACACACAATAAGCAGGGGGGGGGAGAGAGGATTCTGGCAATTATATGCACTGACACACCACACACACCACATCATCGACTGTGAGCAGCACTCATGGCCAACAAAAGCCTCGGCGCGTGTGTGTGCACGTGTGTGTGTGTGTGTGTGTGTGTGTGTGTGTGTGTGTGTGTGTGTGTGTGTGTGTGTGTGTGT